TAGATGTCCAGGAAGAAATTTTAAGGGGCTTTTAGACCATACATTCTTTGTTATATCCTTGTTGCTAATACCCCCACCACGTTGGGTGTGCGCCTTGAGTTTTTTAAGTGCCGATTCATTCATGGTCTTGGACTGTCACATTCATTTGTAAGAATGCTATTCCCCTTTAGAATACAAAACGTTTAATCTCTTAGTGCTTCTTTTTTCTCCTTTGTAATAATAATGAATTTGAATCAAAATATCTAAAACAATCTATAAACTGGTGGCTTGTGGAACCAAAGCTGGTGAACGAATTTTGTTTGGCTGTAATAGCCTTAAAATTTTTCGATTAAGAGACTTTATGCATAGTAACATACTTGTGGTACAGCATTCAAAAGGTATAAGTGGGGAGGGAATGTATACACTTAAATGTAGGTTCAACTCCTACCTATCCTTCTCTCTCCTAGCCACTCAGTTACTTTCTTTAGAGAAGTTCACAGTTACTACCTACTTGTGAATCGTTCCAGAGATATTATCTACATGTAGAAGCATAATGATATATTTACCTTTTCTTTTTTAAGAAAACCAAATGGTTTCAAACTACATACAGTATTTGGGTCTTAACTTTTTTGTTATTTTTTTATTTAATCTGTCTTGTATATCATTCTATATCAGTATTTTACAGCTGCACATCTGTAACAACTGCATAGTAATCCTTTGTATAGCCATATCCCGCTTTCCTTCTTCCTTCCTTCCTTCCTTCCCGTTCTTCCTTTAATCCTCCCTTCTGTCTCTCTCCTTCCCCCTGCCCTTTCAATTAAATCATCCAGTTCAGACAATACTATCCTGCCAGATTAGAAGAATCTTTACTTGATATTTAATATTTATTTTGAAAGGGTAAAGGATTTATACTAATTATCACATTTTAGATTCATGTTGTTTTTACGGAAGGAATTAGCTTTCTTTTGTAAGGATATGTGTTTTAAGACCTTTTGTTTCTAACTTTCTGAGTAGATTTTTCCAGAGGGGAAAAAATTAACACATTAACTCTTCCTTTATTTTTATAATCTTAGTTCAGGACCTATTTTCTTCCAGTTGTATTCATGATTTAACCATTTCCTTATATATGGTCATTTGAATTGTACATATATTCTTGTCTGTATTTTTTTGATATATCATTTTACACATGTAAATACGTTTGAAGGATAACAATCTAGAATTAGAATTGTTGCGTAAAGAGTTATGCATTTACAAAGTTGATAGATGTTGCCAAATTATCCAATATAGTGATACAACCGATTTATATCACCACAGCCAAAATACACTTTTTCCTCACCATATTGTATTATTAAATTATTGAACTTTATTGACCTGATGGAGGAGAAATCTGATTTTACTTTTAATTGGCATTTCTCTTACATGTGACATTGAACATCTTTTTAATATGTTTGATCTTTTTGTATTTCCTTCTATAATATGTCCTTTGTTCATTATCTTTTATTGATTTGTAGGTGCTCTTAATGTATTAAGAAAACTCTTGTGATTTGTGATATATCCGTTTTCCTATTGATATTCATTAAAAAAGAATTCTCTTATTTCTCATGATAGTTTTTCAGCAACCTTTTTATTGACATACGTAAGTATTTTATTTTTTGAGGTGAAATTTATTAGTCTTTTATGGTTTTGGGTTGTCTAGAAAGGCATTCTTAACCCTGAGGTTATTAAAACAAAAACAAACTCTACCTTTTCTTTGAATGCATTGGGGTTCCTTTACAGTTTTCTGATCTATTTGGCATTTGTTTTGATGCAAGAAATATTTTTCAGATGGCTGCCTATCAACATTTATTGAATAATTGACATTGTCCCCTGTGATATGCATGCAGTGTCATCTTTAGCTTTTACTAAATTCTCTATGTATTTGGGTTTGTTTCTGGATTGTCTTTACCACATCTCTATCTGTTCAAGCATCGGTGCCACTTTTTAAGTGACTATAGAATCATAATAAGTTTTAAAATATTTTAGAGCTTTTAAGTAATTTGTTTATTCTTGCTTATTTAATTTTTTATATGTACTTTAGAATCATCATCGTGTATGAAGCTTTTCAAAAACACCCTGTTGGTATTTTAATTGGCTTGCATAATGTTAAAGATTAATTTAGGGAGAAATGAAATCACATGTAATGCGTATTCTTTTTAAGAACATCGTTTTGCTTCTCATTTGTTCCAGTCAATTTTTATGCTCCTTAGTGCCATTTAGCTTTTATATTTTTCTTATAAGGTTTATTCTAATCATTTTTGTTATAAATGGGAGCGTTTTCTTTCATTATATTATCCAACTGGTTGCTTTTATAGATGCCCGTGCATTTCAATTTATTATTTTATATGCAGCTACTTTACTAAAACTCCTTTATTTTTTATAATAGTTTATAGGTTGTTTTCTTGGACTTTCCAAGTATCCACTCCTGTCATTTGCAAATAGTAATTTTATTTCCTCTTTTCTATTTTTAAACTTGTTTTTTTCGTAACTAATGATATCGGCCACCACCTCCAGAACAATGTTAAATATTTGTGGTGTAAAAATAAACATTCTTGTTTTTTTTTCTGATTGTCAGCACTTCTAGGGTCTCTTCATTATGTAAAATGCTGGTTTTCAATTATATTGTTTGTATCTTATCACATTAAAGAAGTTGGCATAGTGTTTGTTTCAAATTTTTAAAAAATTGTATATTGACAGAAGAGTTTCAAAAGCAGCACAAAGAATCTTTTTTCCTAAACCATTTGAGGGCAAGTTGCCAGCCAACCTGATGGCCTGTTGTCTCCTACCAACTACGCTAGGGTTTATTTCCTAAAACAAGTACTGTCCTATGTAACCACATAAGGCCATCAAAAACAGGAAACTAACACTAATATATTACTACCATCTAATCTTCAGACCCCATTCATGTTTTGCCAGTTGTCCCAATAAAGTCCTTTTATAGCCAGATTCAGCCCAGAATCATACATTATTCATGTCTTTTTAGTATCCTTCAATCTGAAACAGTCTTTCTTTGACTTTTATTACCTGATACTTTTGAAGATTACAAGAAAGTTAATGTAAAATTTGAATTTGCTCGATGTTTCCTTGTGATAGATTTTAGGTTATGCATCTTTGGCCGAAGTATCACAGTGGTGTTCTATGATCAGCAAGGAATATCACAGATATTACTCCTTTTTGCTTGCCTTTTCTGGGCACCTTCATCTTTGTAATCTTTCTCTTTAACAATTTTGGGCATTGTGTTTTTATTAAGTATTTAGTTATCCAATATGTGAATTGATAGGAAGATAGGAAAGCAAGTGTACTGGGAGCATAAGGAGATAGCTGGTGTCTTGGGGAATGAGTCACAATACATGCATTTAAAGCTGACTATATTTGAGTATATAGGCTGAAGTTTCAGAATCATCTGGGACCAGTGATGGTGGTAGAAATAGGAAAGTAGCCAAAAGATATGGAGAGGAAGGAAATGATAAGTAATTTTATTATTACTTTGATTATATGCTTATATTGATTAGATGATTGTTTTTATTAAAGCCATTTTGAAGAGTGTATAGAATTCTATGCCAGAGCATGGTTTGGCCAAACAAGTTGGGCTGTCACATGTTTTTGACAAGACTTTCATTTTCGTCAGCTTTAAATGCATGTATTGTATTATTATTATGCTTATATAAAATGATCTCATTGCAGAATATGTAATTTCAGTAAGTTTTTATGATCATTAAGTATAGGTATTTGATATTTTTTGTGTATACAATTGAATTATTTTTAGACTATTTTAAATTATTTCAATAAGATAATCCTTTTAATTGCAATTAAAATTTTAAAAGCTCATTGAAATGAGAACAGAAACACCACCACCTACATCTTGAAAGTTATAAGAAGCTCAGTGAGTTGGATTTTATGTTCATTTTGGTACCAAATCAATAGAAATTAGTATCATTCAAACTAAGTAGAAGTAAGTTTAATGGCTCGCTCCCTAAACTTTAGTTGGACAATCTCTACAATTCCTTAAGGATGTGGTAAGATCACCATTAAATGTAAGTTTTTGCTTACTTAAATGGAAAGCACTGTAGAAATGTAAATAACATTGTTGTCTAGGTTAATATAATAAAAATGGGAGAGGAAAACATATGGGAATAGTGAAATATAGTTATTTTTGATGGCCCTTAACTAGGCCTCCTACACTGCTCTTAGTAGTGTTAGGAGTTACTTTAACAAGTAACTTTTTAATTATTCTGGAGAGCAGCTCATTCCTAGCTCATTCCTAGCCCCCTGTTTTACTGAAGACAAGCGTTTCACAGTGTTTCATGTTAAAATGTAGGTTTTTTTCCCCCTTGGTAATTCTTTGGAGGAGCCAGCAAACAACAGAGGACCATTATGTTTAATTTTCCTTTTTCCAACTTTCACTTTATTTTTTCCTGCATATTAAATCTCCAGGAGGGGAGGTGGAAGTAAAGCAGCTATTTATTGTTTGTAGAGGAGGTCCAGGATAAAGTCTTCCAACAAGGAATCCACCACAAATTTAAATGTATGGTGAAGCTCTGAGAACTCTTATTTGCAAGTGTATCATAAGAACTCATGATTTCACTTTTCCTTCTTTCCTCATCTTCACTCTGTATAAAAGAGAAAACCCCTCAATGCCTTGGGAACAAACACTTGAATATACTCATACTGTATACTTTGCATATGTCTGCATTTAGATTATAGATTGTTTTAGATTATAGACTCTTAGATGATATGGACTATACCTTGTAACCTCCCTAGTCAGAAGTAAAATGCATACAGATGTCCTTTAAAAAAAAAGCCTTTCTTTTTTTTTTTTTTTTTAATGCAGTCAATGCCTTCTCTGTACTTACTTACTTTGTGACAGATACATAAAGAAAAAATTTTGCATTTAGTCCTGCCTTCCAAAGGTTCTTTCTTCAGTTGAGTTTTTAAAAAATTTTATTTGGTCTAAACTGAGTTTTGTCTTTCTTTTCCCTCCTCAGGCCCAGATTGCCTTCCTTCAGGGGGAAAGGAAAGGTCAAGAAAATTTGAAGAAGGATCTTGTGAGGAGGATCAAAATGTTGGAGTATGCTCTTAAACAGGAAAGGTAATTCAGTATGGTGGAAAATAGTGTTCTCTTAAATTTTAGAATAATGTTTCTGTCATTCCTAAAACAAATCCCCAATTTTAATACTTTATACTTCTGAATTCAGGAAATAGCTTCTGTAATATGTTAATTTAATTTATTAATTTTTAATAATAATGACCAATAAACTGATTCATGTGATTAAAAAATTTTAGCAGTATTTTTCCCTACCTTGCCCTTTCTTAAGAAACACATGCATCTTGAACTATTAATATTCATTTCTTTATGGAAGTAAAATAGTTTTTTGGTTGTAAAAGAAATTTCTATAATGCTTACAACCCTTTTCCTATCATCCAGTATTATTCATTTGATGTATTTTCTTTGGAAAAAAATTGTTCTGGCAGACTATCTTTTTATAGACTTTTTTTGGTGTTTTGTTTCTTTGCTATCAGCTTCATATCCTTTCAGAAGCAAATTTTACCTTTCTATTTTGCTCGTGTCCGAGATACTCAAGTAACTAAACTTGGGTCATAAGTAAAGGATAATCGGTCATAGATGAGAGTTTTGAAAGTTTTCATATGAATTAAGTTTATTTGCTTTAATGGATGGTCTGTGGATTTTCTTGTCAGCAGTGTGAAAATTCTTTGTTTTGAGTACTTGATAGGTGATACTGAAGTTCTCAATTTTGTTTTAGTTTTGATGATCACATGCTTTTCTTAGTATTTTGAAGTTGATGAATGAGCTATTTGCAAAACTACTATAAAGTAACAGATGATATTTATGATTATCAAGAAATAGACAAAACTGTTGGAAATTGCGTTTACCTTCATGTGGGGTCTTTAAATGGCACAAGAGATTGAAAGTGGATTGACGTCTTAGTGAAAAACAGGCAGTCCTTTTCCTTAAGAAGTTGATTGAAAACTGCATTGGGGAGGTGGGGAAAACAAAATTAACTACACTTTTAAAAGTAGTAACTTGGGAATATTTGACATTTTAAGCTCTCTGAGTTATAGGCATAAGAAGAGAGTGTTAACATTAAAATGGCAACTATTAACTACTATATACTAGGCTCTGAGGCTTAAAAACTAAGTAACTAGAGTTGCCGTGATTCAGATCCCTCAGATCTGTCTGCTCCTGAAGCCTGTACTCTTTACCAGTACATCATCCTATCTCCTATGACAGAATTGAAATATACAAATCCTACAGTAACCAAGAATGTAGTGTGTTTGTGTGTATGTATGTGTGTGTCCCTTCTCATTTAACATATTCACTAATCTATGAATCCAACTTCAGCACTGTGTTGGAGCTGAGTATAAACATAGTCATAGTTCTTGTCTTTAAGGGCCTAGAGTAACTGGAAGCAGACTTAGGAACCACAGAGTTGCAGTGCAGTCTGATAGGTGCTTTGGGAGAAGTCTGTACAGGGTACTATGGGGTCACAAAGAAGGGAGTGGTTATTTCTGTCTGGAAGATGAAAGTAGAAAAGAGTGTAATTAAAGGAGGTGAGACTTGAACATCAACATAAAAAAATAATGTGTTTGCCAGATAGGTAAGGTTCTGCAAGTAGAGAAGATATGTTTGACATGGAATAAAGTAGTTGGGTGTCTCAGAAATTTGTAATTACTGTGTATGGAAGGTAGGACATTTGTTGTGATTTGGTAAACGAAAATGGTAGATATGGGCAAGAGCCAGATCATGGAACCTTTAATTTAGGAATTGAAACTTTAATCTTACACATGATAGGGAACATTGAACATTTTCAAAACTTATTTTGAAATAATCTCAAACTAATAAAAAGTTGCAAGAACTGTATACCATTTACCCAATTTACTAGTTGATGGGGTTTTACTTTTATCATGCACACTATAACATATTGTTTTTTCCTGAATCATTTGCTCCTTAGTTGTAGACATTATGTTCCTTCTCCCCTAAATTCTTCTGTGTATATATTCTAAGATCAAGGACATTGCCTTGTATAATTATAGCTCATTGTCGAATTAAGGAAATTTAATGTTGCTATAGTTCCATTATCTAACATAGCCCGTATTCATATGTTCTAATGATGATCTTTATAGCATTTTTTTCCCCACCAAATGTCCCAGTAATGATCTTGAGTTTTTTTTCCCCCTGGTCCAGGTCCTAGTCTAGGAATACTTATTGTATTTAGTCGTCATGCATTTGAAAGGTTTTAAGCATGGAATAGTGTGAAGTAGATTTTAGAAAGATCATACAGATCTCAGTGTGGAGGATGGACTGGAATGGTCTGTTAATACAAGCAAGAAGATCGTAATAGTCTAGGATGAGGAATGATAACATAGTAGCTGCTGGACTGGGGGAGACATCAGTCATGGAACATTTTAAGTAGAAAGAATTCATACAGTTTGGAAGATAATTGGGCATAGGGAATGAGGAAGAAAGATAATTCAAGAATGATTCCTAGGTTTCTGGTTTGAAGTGTGAGTTTTGGAAATTAACAAATGAATTAAGGATAAGAATTAAGGGTCGAAAAGTAGATGTGGTAGACAACACATAACTAGAGATGTGTACTTGGGAATCATCAATATTGTGAGTAAAGTTATAGAAATAGTTGAGATAAGCAGAACAAGTATTGTGGGAAGAGAAGAGAACCACAGGAGCCGTAGGAAATGGAATTATTTGGAAGAAAAGGCAGAGGAAGAAGAGCCAACAAAACAGTGGTTGGAAAAGGAAAGAGAGAGCAGTATATTGGAAGCAAGCTAAAGAAGGTGGGAGTTTGACAATCGCAGGTGCCAGACAAACTCCAAATAAATTGTATGCTGAAATAGTCATTTGGATTTGCCAGTTAGGAGCTTATTGGTATCCTTGCCAGAACAGCTTTAGTGAGGTAGTAGGAACATAAACCAGATCATGGAATTGAGAAGTGAGAAGGATAGATAAAGTGGAGACAGATAAAAGTCGCTTATTTTTCCAGTAGCTTGACTTTGGGGAACAGAAGAGATAAAGAACTGGCTGCTCCTAGGGAAGATTTTTTTTTTTTACACTAATGGGATTCTCTTGGAAAAGAATCTCTGATTATTTTTATCTTTTGAAGCTTATGGAATGATTTGAGATTATTCCTGATGTAATGGCACTGTTGAATTGTAGTAAATTAAGGAATTTTAAAAAAGCATTTCTTTGTAGATTAGTGCTCTTAAACATTTGTCTTTTTACTTTGAAATTTTTTTTCTAATGCCTTAATGCAAGTAATTTTTAAAAACTTTGGAACTGTAAAATATTTTTTCTCTTGATTCTGAAATTATTTTTTAATGCCATAAGCCTTAAGCCAATTAAAAAAAAATTGAAGCATAAATGTAGAGAGACTAATATCTTTTATGTACACCGCCAAGCCATAAACATTAACGTTTTTGTCAGTCTTACTTTATCTTGATCTATTTTAGAGCAAATTCTACACATCTTGTCATTTAATCTATAAACACCTTAGTGGGGATCATGGTTTGAATTGCTGTGTTATAGGTTTTCTAAATAGTCCTACTTAAGAAGATCTAAAATTAAATAAAACTGAACCTTTAACATTACAGCAGGATTGCTTACTCACCTAGCAATGGACTTATGAAAGCAGTCTACTTAGTTAAGTGTGATAAAATTTACAAAATGAGCAAATTTACAGGTAAACAATTTTCCAAGAATACACAGTCTAAGGTAACTTCAGTAACTTCAATAGTGAAGAACTTCAAATTTTACATAAAATATAATTCTGAAACATTTCTTCCATTTTTCCTCATTTCTTTTATCTGCACTACTGTCCTCCTTATTTCTAATATTTCCATATTCTAATTCATCTTCCACATCCATTGGACTCATTTTCTAACACACAGATATTATATACCTGTTCAAAAATATCTGGCTAATTTCATAGTTCTTTGTAAAATCTTTTACATCGAGGCCCCTTTCTGGTCTTATACATACACATGCGAACTCATGCACACACTGTTAGCTGTTTTTTGACCCACTTTGTATTTTTTTGTTTGTTTGTTTTGACACTTTGAGGACATTTAAGATGTTCCTTCTGAAAAGAATGCCCTCTACATAATTCCATTCACCTGACTGGGAAACTACTGGTGTTTTGAGTTTAGGTAAAATCTCATGTGTTCCCTTCTTTTTGGTAGGCCTCCTTGACACCACCTTTGACAAAATTAGATAATCTTTTATCTGAATTCCTGTAACAAGTAATATAACTCTTACCCCACAGTGTGCTATAGTTATTTACATTTCTGTCTCTTAGGCATCTCCTTGCCTTCCCCTTTATGACTGACTACAAGCTGGAGGTTATTTCTATAGAGTACCTGTCATAAGAATTCAATAACTGGTTTAATCAAATTATTTTTAACATCCATTTTTAAAATGTAATTGAGATGCCATGTTATATTCTTAGCATGTTATATCTAATAATAGACTTTAAAACAAAACTGTAATGGGACTTCTTTAATATAATTATATAATTTTATGCTTTTTTATCCAGTAGAAGCCAATTAGGAGGTCTAGCTATGTATCAAATATACAGTTCTTAGACATGAGCTCTGCTTTTAACTTACAGTCAGATTTAGATAGAAAAAGATTAGAGAACAAGAAGATTGGTAACATAGTGAGATGAAGTATTAAAATAATGGGAAACAATATGAGTAAGAAAGTATTTTAGCATATTGACTTCAAAGGGGATGTTACTAAGTTCAGCAAGTTTCTGTAAATTATTTTTTTGTGAATTTAACAATTCAGCAAGGGGACAGATTTAAGGCAACGCAGGTTGCAAACAGAGCAGTTCTTTACTTATTTTTGTCTTTGTCTAATTTTTTTGTCTAAGTTATCATGAAATGTTAGTTCATAGCATTTTATTATTTTTGTTACATATATTATATAAAATATTTTCTATTCCCTTTTTTGTTTCTTGGTTGCAGTTTTTCCTAAGACCACTAGAATGCACTATAATGCAGTATTTTGTTTTTGAAAATGTTTTTCTTTATACACACACACACACACACACACAT